TACTGATTTACTGGTAGGCACGAAAACAATACTTAATTCACTTATGCCCTGTGACCCAAGGTCGAGTGGTTAACGTGTCAACCTCCCATCCTACACTGTCGCGGTTCGACTCCCACTGAAGGTGTTGATAAGACCGATGCGGGGTTGAAACTGCAGTCCACCCTGGATGAGAATAACTTTTGGGAAAGAAAAGCTATGTAAAATTCAATGGAAACGTCAGCTTAACTCATATCATTGTTGGAAAATTCTTCTTCTACCGGTCCTTCATCACCTTAAAGAAATTTGGTGGATACATCTCATATTACAGTAAAATATAGCAATAGTATTATTAAAATTGATATAAACTCCGCTATATTGAGTGATGAGGGAAGGAAAAAAAGATGTACAAGAGGCAGACTGGAAACGAGCATATGCAAGGAAAAGTTTGGTTTCGAAGAATCTATTGGTCCCACCTGTCCCTCCTGAAAGTGTTTGGTGAAGAGATTGTAAGGACTATCCCACCAGAAGACAATGACGGCTGGTGTCTTAAAATCTATGATTATCCGGACATAAGACTAAGCGATAAAGATCAGTGAGAATGACCTAAATCGGCTTAAATTAATATTACTTGAAAATAATAATCCCTTAGATCTGATTTAAAATAATAAAGGGAATAAAAACGGTTTTTGTGGAAACTCCGACACTTTTATCAGTTAAGCTCACTTTAAAAGACAAAATTTGACTCATTATTCGGATCAGGTTGCTATGACATAATGTGTTCATGAGGTCACTTTAATGTTGGAGAGACTTGTTGTCCCATTCGACAAGAGGGGGCTGAATACAAAGGCTGTTGGTTAACAAATCAGGGCTGGCTAAGCACAAGGCAGAAATTAGACGAGATTGAATGGTATCAACTACTCGTTTTGCTGATTATGTCTGCGGCTAAACCTAAAACTATGGAAATCATCTAAATAGACCGAATGGGGAATACATTGAACGTACGGAATACCGGCAAGAAGTTAAGTAAGACCAACTTATATAAGTTGTTTAGCCTTGTTTTCGCAACTTGATCATACTGGCAGGAAGACCTAGAAGGAAGCTTGAACGGAGTATGCATGATAATTTTCATAATCGGTCCGTAGACTTGGTACATTTCAAGACGTTTCGCTAGCGTTGTCAATGCGCCTTGCCATTCTTAGCACCACACTACAACGCCTCAGAGACAAGTGAAGTCGATCCTTTGATCAGTTGTCTGCTAAACAATTGTGATAGCTTTCCTGTCCTGGGCTATTTACCTATCCTATATCCTTGTATCACCCCTTCAATATTACAATTTCGTACTTTTTTATCTAAGCCTAGTTGAGGTGCGCATTTTTGATCGGATTTAGTGAGAACTATTCATACTCCCCGCTGGTTTCTTTGTCCCCATTCACTGTGCTGGGAATGCTGAACCTGGATCTGTAGGATCCTCCTCTTATCTGCTTATTTAAGTGATTAAACTCCATCAAACGGAACACTCATAACCAAATCACCTAATACATGCTCCAGTTTCCTATTAGTGGAAATAGGTAAATCTGGGCGTTTACCAATAATACAACATTAAGGAACTACATTATGTTAAATACTATTTTTTTAAATCTTATAGTATTGACTTGCCGGGATATAGATGTCTTGATTTTCGTATAGCCAGGAGAAATTTGCTAAGAATTGATACCATACGTACGTAGTATATGAGAAGAAAAGTTGGGTTTCGAGGAATCTCTTGTTTCATAATTGTTGAGCTTACTTCCATTTGGAGCAAAAGTGTTGGGTGAAGAGATTCGAAGGTCAGTTCCACCAGAGTTTTCTTGACTCATTAGCTTGAATTTTGTTGTGACGATGTTACCTCGGTCTGATGATGTTCGTCATATGGCGGACGAAAGATCAGCACCTTTTCACCGGAATCGAAGGAGATTGCCTCGGAAACAGCGTTAGCATGAAGCTTCCAGTAGAGCCAATGGACAGCTGGTCAAGAGGAATCCGTCGTCGTTTTCTGGTGGAACCGACCTTTAAATCTATTCACCCAACACTTTCACTCGAAATGGAAGTAAGCTCAAGAGAAAAAACACTATAAGGACAAATTCCTGAAGAATTCCATTTATAAATTTCTAATAGGCATAGTTCATAATA